CGCTAGCTGCTAGCTAGCGGCGCTAATGCTCGGACAGCGGCTAGTACTGGTGCTCGGACCACTTGCGTGACTTCACCTTTCGGAGTCGTTCGGACTCGTTTGACATCGGAATTCGATTCCGCTTTTTCCTGTGCGTTGCCAACGAAATGCTCTATTAAATGATGTTCACCTAGCCCACTTATCATGGAAAATAGATTCTCCCGAAGCTTTCGACCTGCACACCAGAAACAAAGAAAAACCGGAAAAACAAACGGAAAACACAAGAAAAACCAAAATAAAGCAAAACACACAATAAACTATAAAACAACCTAAAAACCAAGGAATAGACCTAATATGGGGGAAAAAGAAAGGAAAAATCAATACGAAAAATGCAACAAAAATGGGACAAACAATTGTGATTCACATTTCTTCATAAATAACACTCAATATTTTTGAAAATATTGAGTTTGATTTTCAGAATTTTTACAATTTGTTTAATTGAAAATATGTATTATTCAAAATAATAAAATATTATTACAAAAAATATAAAAAATGTATATTTTAGGTTTAATCCATTATATATTTTCCAATGCCACAATTGATTACGTATTATATGTATTAGCATATGGAACTCAATATAAATAACTTAATTTTTGAATAGAATCTATATATATATATATAATAAGAATTACTATTTACTAAATATAGTAGCAAACAAATAGGTCAAAGCAGTGTTTTAAATACCGTACCGGTGGCTATACCGGTCTAGCCATCGATACGCGGTATTACCGGTCGGACCGGTAATATCGGTGGTATTACGGACTAACTAATATAATGATATATATATTTATATATAAAAATTTATAATACTAAATGCAAAAAAGTAAAAAAATAAATGACCATAATCATTAATTTAACTTACCAATGAGATAAAAATAAAACATTCTAACTACCAATTTAAATTTTATATCTTTAAATTAATAATTTTTTTCTATTTATTTATTTTTTTTTTTTTTGATGACCGGTATTTTGGACCGGTTTTTTCCGGTATTTACGGTATAACTCCGATACAAATCGGTATAACCGTAAATCCGGTATTCTGTGTACAATTATACCGTACCAATAGTCGGTATCCGGTATTACTGGTAAGGTACAGTATTGAAAACAATGGGTCAAATTAATTTAATGTAGCCTATAAATAGTAAGTTTTATTATTTTTCTTATTTTGTTCTTTAAAAATCATACAACATTAAATGTTACCTTAAATTTCGGGCTTTAGTTAATTTTATTATTTAAAATTCCGGCGAAGATTTATTATGTGTGCATGTTTTTATTTTTAATTTTTTCTTAGAAACAACGAATAACATTAAAATATCGGTCTTTATATTTATGAAATCTCAATTGAAAATATAGCAAAAGTTTTAGAATCTCGGTCTTTATATTTGTTCCTTTAAAAAAATATTGAATGCTAAAAATATTCTTTAAATTGCTTAATCAATAAATTAATCTTATTTTTTTGAAAATTACTATGTTTATTTTTTATTAATATGCATAAAATAAAAATAATTAATTCATCTTTAGATATATAATTTATAATCTTAACATCATTTGGTAGACATTTATTATATGAATCATAAAATATTTTTATTTCATAAAATTAAATATATTTAAAGGAAATAAGGAAATTTCTTTGGATCAATCGGGCGATTGAATTAGGGTTGATTGAATTAATTTTAGGTGATATTTAAAATAGTCAAAAAACTTGACACAACTTGGTTGGTCTCAGGTGTCTAAGTTATGTATCAGTTTGACCAGACCAAATCGATTATTGAACCTAAATGTAGATTTTAATATTGAAAATACTTTATTACGTGAATGTGATGTAGTCCGAACTTCAAATAATCGTATTAACAATACTTTTATGACAACATGTTTAATGATTTATGAATATTGATATATCATTTTATCAATTTATGTGAATTAAATAATATATTATTATGATGTTTGTTAACGTACAGTAAATATAAGTTTTTCAGAACCGGACCGTCATCGAAACGATTAAGTTATTTTATTAAATCATTTGTGGTTTGTTCAGATAATAGCAGTTTTGTAATAACTTTAAATAAAATGTGTTACTTGAATATCTAAACAATTTATAAATTAAAATGTTTAAACTAATTGATAGATAATTTATAAATCTCTATTTTATTTAAATGTATAATTTTATTTAAATATAGCAAAATTTATTTAGAAATCGTATCAATCCTACCAGTTCAACCGACTGGTGTTGACGAATTCCATAGCAAATATTTTATTCAAGCGAACTGACTGGTTATAAACCGGTTCTCGGTATATTCAGTCGGATTGTGTCGAACCCGATTCAATTTAAAAACAATAGATATATTATGATTAATGTTATTTATATATTTTATTTATAATACAATCGTAATATTGTTTTCCCGTGCATCGCACGGACCACGGATTAGTAGGAGTAATTGCAAATACATTGAAATACGAGGACTAACAAGTGGAAAGCTAATCTCCACAGACTTTGACGCAACTAACGTCAACCCCAGCTAGTGATATGGCCGACGACACCGTTCCGTCTCCCGCCGATCAGGGTTTCTCGCCGGATTCCGGCTTCGAAGTCACCGTAAGACCTTAATCAGTTATTCTTTTGTGCCGTGAGGTTCACTTTATTCACCACCTGATAACCGTATCACCGCTCACTCACTACCCAATTTTTGGGGTCATATATATACACACCATTCTACACACACATGCTTCGAGCATTTTTCCAGAAATTCTTATAATTTTAGATGTGATTTGAAGTTTAGTTATGGAGATATAAGCTGAACGGAGCTTTAAAAAAATGAATTTGAGCACAGAACTTTTGAAAAAGGGATGGGGAAGACTGGAAATAAGAGGGATGAAAAGAAAAATAAAATACAATTCAAGCGAGATGAAAGGCTGAGAACAATGGCTCTTTCAGGAACCTCACAAATGCACAGGCTTAGTATTATTTGCACTATTATTTGGGACTTTTGTGATCAAATTTTGAATTCAAACACATCAATATCGATTCCAAATATGTTTGATTGTCGAAGTTTGGTTTGTTCGAATAATGTTTTGTTCATTAGTTGGTCTATCATTGTTAGTCCAATGAATTCTGAGAATCTTGATTGAAAACGTATGCTGCAATCTATGAAATGAGGTAGCCGTTTTCTCTTTTCCCCAATGTTTGTTTCCAGAAAGGAAATTGCTTTGTCTGCTATCTGCCTGCTACTCGTCTTTTATTATCATCAGATTCGACTAATAAGTTCACTTTCTGAACTTATGAACCTCCATTCAACATTTATTTTGCTGATGCCTCGTAGTTTTGTATTTTCTTTATGTCAGATTGAAGAAGGTTCCAACAACAGTCAAGAACTACTGGGCCATGAATGCGTTGATGGCTTGGGGATCAAAACCGATGAGCTCGACCAAATAGAAAACATCGAAATACAACACGTCACGAACCAAATACTCGTGGACCTTGAAAATGAAAACGAGCAAGCTCCTGAGTCCACAACCAGCGTTAGCGAGAAGTCAACAGATGCTGAATATAATAACAATAGCTATAATATTAACCATTGTGCACAAGAAAAGTCTTATCCGCCGCCGGTGGAGGGAATGGAGTTTGAATCCTATGAAGACGCATACAATTACTACAACTGCTATGCAAAAGAGCTTGGATTTGGCATTCGAGTCAAATCCTCGTGGACAAAGCGTAACAGCAAGGAGAAGCGTGGGGCCGTGCTTTGCTGCAATTGTGAGGGTTTCAAGACGCCAAAGGACACAAACATGAAGAGGAAGGAGACTCGGACTGGATGCCTGGCCATGTTAAGGCTGAGGCTGCTCGAGTCCAGCAGATGGAGATTAGACGAGGTTAAGTTACAGCACAACCATTTGTTCGACCACCAGAGGGCACAGAGCTCGAGGTCACATAAAAAAATGGAGGTCGGGGCCAAAAGAAAACCCGAGCCAGCCGCAGCCCATCTCGAAGTTTGCACAATCAAGCTTTACCGAGCCCCACATGTCGACTGCGCGAGTCATGATGAGAGAGAACCCGATGGCCACGTGGATAAGTCGAAACGGTTGAAATTTAAAAACGGAGATTTAGAGGCTCTTCACGGCTATTTTCGACGGGCACAGCTGGCGGACCCGAATTTTTTCTACGTTATGGATTTTAGCGACGAGGGGTATTTGCGGAATGTGTTCTGGATGGATTCCCGGTCGAGGGCTGCGTACGGATATTTTGGGGACGTGGTGCTGGTAGACGCGGAGCAATTTTTGGGCGAAATTATGGTTTTGTCCTTCAGTGGATTGAACCACCACTGCCAGCCTGTGCTGTTTGGTTGCGGTCTGCTCGTGGATGGAAGTGTCGAGACGTATGTTTGGGTAATGAGGACGTGGATCGCGTGCATGTCTGGGCGTGCGCCACAGACGATAATTACCACGGACCAGTGCACCGCGTTGCGGGGCACGATATCTGAGGTTTTCCCGAGGGCTGTTCACCGTCTCTGCACATCCCTTGTCGTGCAAATTATTTACGAAAAAATAGGGGAATTGGGCGCGTCGGAATTATTTCGAACGGTACTGAACAGAAACGTGTACAAATCCAATAAAGTCGAAGAATTTGAAACGGGGTGGGATGAAATGGTTCGGCATTTTGCTCTGGGAGGCCACGAATGGCTCGAGCGCTTGTACAAAGACCGGGAAAGGTGGGTCCCGATTTACACGAAAAGGAGCACTTTTTTCGCTGGGGCATTCGTTGACATGTCATATTTCCATGGGTATTTACGTGACGGAATGAGTTGGGAAGATTTTTTCGCTTGTTACGAATTACTTCAGCAGAAGACGATTGAAAAGGAAGCTCTAGCTGATTCTGAGTCGAGAGAGTTTACTCCTGTCTTATTGACAACGTGTAGTTACGAATTCCCATTTTCTCAACTATACACGAAAGAGATATTCTTGAAATTCCAAGAAGAGGTGGTCCTCATGTCACGTTGCTTTAGCGTGACCCAAATTCAGGCAAACGGACATGTCCTCACGTACATAGTCAAAGAACAGAACACTGAAGTCCACCCAAATGAGGCAAAGAATTTCGAAGTTGTGTATGATAAAGTTGGGACCGAAGTCCGTTGCATCTGTGGGTGCTTTAATATGAGAGGGTATTTGTGCCGGCACATTTTGTGTGTCCTAAATTACAATGGGATTGAAGAGATACCTAAGCAGTATGTATTATCTCGGTGGAGGAAGGATATTAAGCGCATTTACTGTACTGACTTTGGTTCTAACGGTATAGACATTAGTAACCCTGTTCAGTGGTACCAACATTTGTACAGGTGTGCCATGCAGGTTGTTTCGGAGGGGATGGTTTCGAGAGATCGTCAAATGGTGGCTTGCCAAGCATTTGAGGATTCACTCGATAAAGTTCGTCTTGCAGGTAGTCATGATAGGTGAAGCGTGAAATTCACGTTTTATATCGGTTATGTAAATTTCATTCAGAGTTTTGGGCAATAGAGTACTGTGAGAAGAAATCTTGCCAAGTGTATATATGTAATATGTTGATTGTCTTGCAACTTGTTTGAGTTGTGTAGACAGAATTTATTGGCTCTTGCTTCAAGAATAGCCTCAAGAATTTATAGGCATTGGAGTCAGTTGGTGTTCAACACTTACCAGAGTTTATTATGCTGTCTTGCTTTATGAATAGCCTCAAACAAGTTTAACCAACAATTTGCAGTCGCAAGAGTTGATTGATAGTATTTCAGAAACTACTCTAATGATTCCACAACTATGATGGCAAACGACACCCATGCACAAGATTAGTTTGCATCATACATCATAACTCATAAGGTAACTTGCACGAAAAATGAAAATGCAGCTAAACTAAAATACTTAAAAAAAGCACCCCACGATCAATTTTGGCAAATTGATTCAAAGTTAGCAGCATCCCTTACATACACAAGTGCTAATCTAACATTTCATAAACGAAAATATCAAACTGCCCTTAATCACAAGTAACTGCAGGATCAATATTTGGCAAATTGATAGCATTCATTAACAAAATATGTGATCATCTAAAAACTCATCAGAAATACTAATTTTCCATTCGACACCAACATTCAACCTCCATCTTCTTTTTTCTCACCAACATTCAACCTCCATCTTCTTTTTTCTCATAAGAGCATCTTCAATGCTCCACCCTTCACATTGAATTTTTTCTCATAAGAGCATTTTTAGTGCTCCACCCTTCACATTGAAAAATTGATGCCACATGGTGACAATGTCTAATGCATGTCAAATGAGTGTACTTGACATTGGCATAAAATTTGAGCTATGTCCACCCTTCACATTGAAAAATTGATGCCACATGGTGAAAATGTCTAATACATGACTGTACTGTACTTAAACCCTTCACATTGAAAAATTGATGCCATGGTGACAATGTCTAATACATGTCAAATGAGTGTACTTAACTTAAATTTAACTCCAACTTGCACTTATTTTAATAGAAACAATTAAAAGTACGAGAATTTAACTCCAACTTAATGCACTTATTTTAATACAAACATCTAAAAGTACGAGACATTCGTACTTGGGAGGTATTTTTATAAAAATTTATTTTATTTTTATTAAAGTTTTTATTAAATTATTTATCTAACTTTCATAATTTATACTTTACAAATTAAAATAATTATAAGTGTTCGTTTGCTTCTGAATTTTATAAATTTTTTTATCTTAAATTTTGTACATAAAAATTAAATCTAATAGTAGTGAAATTAGATATAAAATATTTTAAAAACATGCGCAATGAATAACACACAAATATTCTTCATAATAAATAAATAAATAAATAACAACATGTTTGTAGAATATTTTTTGATTCATTTTCTACAAGTTGAAAAATCCAAAACATATGATCATGATTAATATCATGATTAAATTAATCGTAAACAAATAGTATTATATATATATATGCAATATATATAATAAATATTATATTACATAATACAAAGTTAGCAGCATCCCTTACATACACAAATGTTAATCTAACATTTCATAAACGAAAATATCATACTGCTCTTAATCACAAGTACCGCAGGATCAATATTTGGCAAATTGATTAGAAGTTTGCAACATTCATTAACAAGATGTGTGATCATCTAAAACCTCATCAGAAATATTAATTTTTCTTGGACACCAACATTCAACCTCCATCTTCTTCTTAACTTCTTCCTCATAACTATTATGTCACTTTTCACCTGGCAAAAGAAATGGCAAAAGAAAAGGCAAAAGAAAAAGCAGAACAATTCCAATTAGATAAAAATCGAAAAACAAAAGAAATAGAACCATAAAAAGAATAGGCAAAAGGAAAAACAGACTGGTAAATAACAACACTGACCTCTATCTCTCAAATCAATCACCAAAAAACTGCTCAAACCAAGTAGCTACGCTTTAGAAACAGAAAAGTAGTATTATACTAACAATAACAAGAGTAAGCTCGATTGAACTCTTAAGACTGGGACCTTTTCACCGTTAAAATGCCATATAAAAATATCAAGGAAAATGGGGGTTATCGATTTATATATAAAATAGATTTACATAAGTTATAATTAATGTAAGTGATCTATTAGAACACCGCCTAATAATCACAGGTACACCGGAAAATATAGCCAAGTAAGACAATCATATTAACATTTGATCAGAGACTTAATGCTGAAATAATAGGGCATCCTATAGAAATTGATCTTGTTACTGTCTCGGGCTCTAAAATTTCAGTTGCAGAGTTTGTGTTGGCATTGATGTGACTACACCAAAAAAGGACATGCTATTGCTGCTTATTATGGAGAGGTGCCAAACTTAGGGAGCAAAATATTGTGTCAATTTATACCTATATTTTGCAGGATGTTTTGACGCTATTCACGACGTGTCTAAATGCCACATGCCCGGCAATGCTCGTAAGCCTCTAGGGCAACTGATAATGAATCTACTCATCTAGTAAGAATGGTGCTAACAATCAACCACCTCTTTGAACTCTTTTCATGTGCGACAGAAAAGAAATTGGAGGACTCTATAATCCTGTGACCGAAAATAAAATAAAATCTCCAACTTCTCATCTGATGTGACCCACAACCTAATAAACCTGGAAATACTCTTATCATTATGCCATATTTATTTGAATTAGAATCCACCGCAAATGATCCCAATGGTCAGAAACAATTAGCTTACATAAAACAGCTAACTAGTCTCCCCTTCCATAAAAGGTCTAGAAAATCCCCTTAGGGCCTATTAGTAACAAAACAATAAAGAAATAAAACATGAACTTTCCATCATTATCTAGAATGTCATGGTTCTGTAGCATTCCGAATGGATAATATGTATATAGTTGGCTATGTTTGTTGGACGTAACAAACAATTGAGAGATTCGTGTTTAGTCATTAGACATTGCAACTAATCAATGATGCGCGATAATTGTTGTTCAGCGACAACTACATGTCACTGGGTGATGCTATTCGTTTTTGATATTGGTATTAATGTTGTCAGAGTGAGTTCGATTCACAAGCATTTTTTAGAGATCATTTTTGAGAATACAAATATGAGAATAACAATGGAGGAATTCCAAATATTACACGATTGGGGTAAAGCGTCGAAGGCCCTTTTGGCGTGTCTGGACCATGACAACCATGATAGATATAAATTGCAATAAACAAGGCAGTCGTGCGGAAGCTTTGGGTATCGCCTCCGAAATGAAATGCTATGCCCAATGAAAAAGTCGACACAACAAAATCAGAACTAAAGGCGTGCTCATGCTAGGTATGAACATATGCTAATAAGACACATTCAAACATATTTTAATCCCTGGCATTAGCACGCTTTTGTTGTGTCGATTTCTTCACCAGCTACATCATTTCGAAGGATGATTCATACTAGCCAAGAGTGGATGCTTTGATGCTTTACCCCACTCGTGTAACATATGGAATTGCTTATCTCAAATTTGCACTCAAAAACAATTTATGTTAGCTTCTGAACCTTGCTCCCTCTACAACATTAATACCAATGTCAACAACTAATGTCTCTTCCTAACCATATTAGGGTTATCCAAGTTCTCAATCGCAACCGGGACTTCCCAAATTGACAATAAGAGCATCACCCAGTGACTTATATTTGTAGCTAAAAGGCTAATCACTAAATACGAATCTCTCAACTATTCGTTACGTTCGGCAAACATAGTCAACTATATACATTTTATCCATTCAAAATGCTACAGAAACTCTCTCTTTTTTTTTAGAGCCCCAAAATGGAATAAAACCCCGAACACACCTCTCCTCATATCTTCCATATTGCATAGCTTAACACCCCATGATTATTTCATGGTAGTTCAAGCACTCGTCCTTGAAGGACACTTTCTCCCTCAAATACCAAATTAGGCGCTTGGATCTGGTTAAAGAGACGAGAATATTCAAATTAAGCTTTTTGAATATTTTTTAAAACTTTTAAAATTCTTGTGTATTTAATTAAAACATTTTGAGAATTCTAAAAATTCCACGTGTTTTCAATTTTGAGATATTTAAAAACTTTTTATAAATTTCTAATAGTCTTAAGCTATAAAAACTTTTTATAAATTTCTAATAGTCTTAAGCTATTCAACTAAACTTTATGAGAGT